AAGATTTTTTGCTTCGATGCGGAGCAGCGATGCTATTAGTTTTACAATAATATAGGCTTTTTTTTTGTCTGTATACACTGTACCTTTAATAATACTGGACCAATTCCTTCGAATAGCAACTATAAAAAATCACTAATTTTATCTAGTTGGTACTTAAGGGAGGGGGTTTAAGTTAAAAAACTTTAATTTCTTTACGATTAAAATTTGAACTTTTTATGGCTATAATTTTGAGAAAAAGAGTCAGCACGAGTTGAAATTTATAAGGAATATTAATTATCAACAACACATGAATCACAATTTTTTTTTATTTTGATACAACTAGATTCACAAACGTTGCGTTATGCATTCACGCTTAATATATATATTTACCAGCCGACCATTTCACTAAATCCAAAAAATGCAAAAGCCATCTATATTCGAACGGCGACCAGATGCGTTTCAATTCGTATATGTAGTCTGTGAAATTCTTAATGACTCTTGTGGTCAAATCGTTGATGCTGGACAGCTGTTCACGGTCGACGTTGAAACCGAGCCGATCGATTCCACTAGAACCGTGTAGTTCGTTTAGGACCTCATTGGCTTTTGACTTGACTCTGGCTGAAATTTTTTTTATTTCCACGATGTTTCCTACTCTGACGGTCTTGAGTTCCGATATGACGACCTCGAGAAATTGGTCTTTGAACGCCGTCAAATTCAACACGGCTTGGACAACCTCTTGGATAACGTCTTTGGCGTGTCTCAGCGTCGCCGGATCGTCGAGTGCGGCCGTAAGCTGTTTCACGTAGACGTGCAGCACCAGCGACAGGTGACAATACAATCTGGCGTCGATAGTCCTGACCAACAAGAGTTGGTGGTCCATCCGATCGTACGGTGTGTAAATCCAAGTGCGGTTTTCGAAAAATGTTCTGGTAACCGGCACCTCGGTTAGGTGTTTTTGGTTAGCCTCGTTCCAATCCACATCGGTATAGGATATTGGCCCGAACAACAATTCACGTTGGTCGTCCCAAAACGGTTTCAAATACAAAAGCGCTATCATCAAGTTGTAATCGCGGTCGTGTGAAATCCGTATTGCACTTAGATCTTCGAACAAACGGTCGTATACACTAGGGTCGTTCGAAACGAAATCCGGTTCCATAGCGGCCAACGAGAGGTAATTTTCGCCAATGCAAGTGTCGATGAATTTTGAAATGCCTGTTTGCAGCAGATTGTCGCCTTCATACGGGTCGCCTTGTTTGAAATAGTTTTCAAGGTCGTCGTATTGTTCGATGGCGATCGTTTTCAAAAAATGACTCCAAAGCCACATGCCCGTTTCGAAATTTTCGGCCAGCAACAGTTCAACTATCATCGCGGTTTCCTGTTTGATATTTATTAGGTAGTCCATGTTATAAATTAAAGGTTCTCCGCCTTTCAATCTTTCCAATAAGTTCTTAAAGTAACCCGATTTGGATTTCGCGATCACGCAAAAACTACATTTTATGTCCCGCGCTTTTTTCTCCAGTCTAACGCGGCTTCTTAATTTTTTTTGGTATTTCTTAATATTGTTCACAACGGGCATGGACAGAATTCTCTGGTGTACCGGTTTGATAATAACAGTCGAATGTTTGTTGAACGTCTTCACTTTGTCTACGGTGCGCACATAGCGTCTGTTAGATGTAGGAACGATAAACCGTGCGGGGGTTATCTAAAACAAAATATGTATATATATATAATATATAGTTATGTCATATAAAAAATTATCTTTAAAAATACACCAAATTCGAGTTTTCATTTAATAACAACTAGGGGATCACTCCAAACGTTCGTTCATATTTGGCGTTCTGACAAATATATTATTTAATGATCATTTTGTATAAAAATAAAATAATCTTAATTTGAGGTATGATGCATACGTTAAGTATAGTTTATTTTGATTATGTTGTCCGGAAAGTAGATTTATGTACAATACGTTTTGTAGAAAAGCTTTCCAGGATGGAACATGCTTTAGCTCTGGCCTCCTAACCCGAAAACAATACCAAATAAGATACTAAAGTAGCGCGCCTACTTTCAATTGAAGGATTGAGAGCGAAATGTTAAACACTGATAAATGTTCCCAGTTAATCGATTAATGCCAGGTATTAAAAAAATCACTAAAAAAATGTTCAGCCCGAACATATTCTAATTATTATGACTATAATCACTTGTAAAGAGCCAGCCGACTAAAGCATGTTTCATTTTTTATCATTTTGCCCGTCAGGCTCTAAGTAGACTGTAGCTTTTTCGTTATTATCAAAATATATTTTAACGTGAGAAATAATTTGTCTATAGTGCACAGCTGATATCAACCGCAAAATTTTTTTTGTTTTTCCCAGAAAACTGATAGTTCATAATAAATACTTACCCGGCTGTTACTTGCTGATTCGATTGTTTTTATGTTTAAAATTAAAGCAAAACAACATAACGAAAATGCACAAATGTTGGCGATCATTGCTATTTTTAATATTTTTAATTACACTACAAGTATCTCGTATGGTATGGTGTAACTATGACTGACCTATTATATTCGCAAGACTTCATACCATAGCTATAGTTTTGTGAAAAAGGATACTTGAATTTTTCAGTTTTATCCAACAACTTGTTGTACAACACTTGTTCATATAAATCATACTTTCGGTTTGTCTACGTATATTGACTCTATATGTTTTGTCTAGTCCGTGTCTAAATAGATATTTTACGTTATAGCAAAGACGTAATTTTTAGTTGAAAAATATAATTTACATATTTTGGTTTTCGATTTTCAATAGAATGACACCATTGTTTGAGTTGGTAATATAATAAAGTACTTCTCATCTGTGTATCCATATCGTCGAAATGGGTTCATAATATAAAATCGTGTATCTACAAATAAAGCACATTGTTATAAAGCCAACAATTATGCTCAGTTACCCATCAAAGTTATTTGGTTTAACTTATTAAATTATTGCTCTAGAGTATGGTTTTTATTATGTGTACCTTATACGTATCAAAAATCGTATGTTATGATAAATCCTAATATTTGACAATATTATAGTATTTGTGCACACAGACGTATGAAAATATTTTTTTTTTAAATGCCAAGCTTTATGTTATTCATAAAACAAACTGTACAGCTATAAAACATTTTTTTTAAATTCTGTCCAAATCTTATTCGCTTTTTTGTATATATATGTACAGCTGTGCAAATAAAATATGACCATCTGATGTAATTAGTTTCATAATTAAAATAAAAAATGAACCTTTTTATTGATCAGGTAGAAATAATTGGATTGAATAATATGATAATGCATGCATTCTTGTTATGTTATGCTACATATGTCTAAATAAAACAACATAACTGGTCATGCATTATTAAAAATTTATATAGATAGAACTAATTTAGTAACGGTTGAATTAAAAAACGGATATCAAAATTATTGGTCGTTAAATAATGGTAGTTTTGCTTTAAAAAAATTAAATGTATGTTGATTGAGAATAAAATACATTTTTCACTCAATACATTCTGCATTTTTTAATTTTACCTAATCTAAGTCTTAATAAAAAAAAAGATTTACATTAGAAATTCTTTTTTTTATTATTTAACACGTTATTATTCGGTTTTTGAGTTAAAATTAAAATAGCCAATAGTTTAGTTTGCAATATGTAATAATCAGTTTTGGAACCCAGTCTGAGCGTCGGCTTCCCCTACCAAAATATGCAAATCATAAACACTCCAGAACAATTTTTTTAGGATTTGCCTATAAGCACCATGGTTAATGCGCGGGTGTCCAGTACATATCGCACCGGAGGAAAAACAATTTTAAAAACTTCCACATTAACCTTCAATATTCAGAAGGTGCAAAATATTTTAGACTTGGTAAACATGATACAAAATGATTTTCATGTGGACCTGTAAAAATACATTAATGGACTTTTAAACTTAATTTGTATTTTGTTTGTGACTCGACTCACTTAACAACCAGACTATTTTTTTTTATGTAGCAAGTCCATTGCATTCAATAATGTATTCCGACGTATTGTAGTGTTTATGAAATAAATTTACATTAGCTCTATTTGATTAGAGTTACAGTAATCCTAATACAAATACCATTTGAATTTTCCAAATGTATTTATTAGGCACTTTATAAAATATGAGTTCAATATCTAATGGACAATTCAACATGAAATGGGATACCACATACGAAGGCGGTATAACTATTTTAAATAGACTTTGACAGGAATATTGAAAACAGCCCCACAGTGAACTGTTTTTTTTATCTAAAAAATCTGGAGCAGAACCTATTTCTTGTTATATTATAATTATTGCCACTGATATGTTATTAATAATTAACTTTATTGTAATGTAACTATTTGTTTGTCAATTAATACATTTGTAAAACCAAATAATATTATTTCCATAAATCTGTTATTTATTATATTATATCATAATATACCTATGTAAAATAGAGTTTTATCACGGTAAATAAAGAACTATTATCATTATGATTTCAACTATGATTATTTGTAAAATTCCTTAAAGTAACTAATTACATTTTCAAATTCATTAGGAACAACACATAAATAGCATTTTTTTTTTAATATATATATTATTTTATTTCGATACGAATGGATTCACAAACGATAACGCAACGTTTGTGAAACCATTCGTATCGAAATAAAATAATATATACATAATATAATATATAATATATAATATATATGTATAAAAAAAAAAATTGTTTTTTTTCAATTTTGTCTAACAAACTGTTAAACAACACTAGTTCATATAAATTACATTTTCGATTTGTCTACGTATATTGACTCTTTATCCGACTTCTTATAAAAAAAAAAACGTTACAACAAAGCCGTAATTTTTAGTTATGTAAAATGGAGTTTTATCACGGTAAATAAAGAATTATTATTATTATAGTTTCAATTATGATTGATTGTTAAAATTCCTAAAAGTAACTAACTAAATTTTCAAATACATGAGGAACAACACATAAATCTCAATTATTTTTTATATATTTTATTTATTTCGATAAAACTAGATTCACAAACGTTGCGTTATGCATTCACGACGACCATTTAACTAAATCCAAGAAATGCAAAAGCCATCTATACTCGAACGGCAAGCAGATGCGTTTCAACTCGTTCATATAGTCTTTGAAATTCTTAATGACTAATGCGGTCAACTCGTTGCTGGACTGCAATTGGTTGACGTTTAAACCGAGCCGATCGACTCCACTGGAACCGTGCAGTTTGTTTAGCACCTCATTGGCTTTTGCCTTAACTTCGGTTGACATTTTTTTTATTTCTTCAATGTTTGCATCGCTTTTCGTCTTGAGATCCGATATGACGGACACGAGGAAATGGTCTTTGAACGCCGTCAACTGTAACACGTCTTGGACCACGTCTGCGATAGCGTCTTTGGTCTGTCTCAGCGTCCTCGGTTCGAAGCGTCCGGCTGTTAGCTGTTTCTCGTAAACGCGCAGCACCACCGCAAGGTGACAATACAATCTGGCGTCGATAATCCTGACCAACAAGAGCTGGTGGTCCATCCGTTCGTACGGTGTGTAAATCCAACGGTTGTTTTCGAAAAATGTTCTGGTCGCCGGCACCTCGGTCAGGTGTTTTTGTTTAGCCACGTTCCAATCCACATTGGTATGGGCTATTTGCCGGGACAACAATTCACTCTGATCGTTCCAGAACGGTGTCAAATACAAAAGTGCTAACATCTGGTTGTGATTGCGATTGGTTGTAAGCGGTATAGCGCGTAGACCATTTAAAAAACGGTCGTGCCCCTTAGGGTTGTTCGAAACGAAATCCGGTGCCATAGCAGTTTCCGGAAGGTTTTTTTCGCGTTTACAAGTGTCGATGAAGTCCGAAACGCCGGTTTGCAGAAGACGGTCACCTTCGAATGGGTCTTCGCCGCTTTTGAAACCGTTTTTACAGCCGCCGTAGTTGTCAATGGCGATCGTTTTCAAAAAATGACTCCAAAGCCACTTGCCCGTTTCCAAATTTTCGGCCAGCAACAGTTCAACTATCATCGTGGTATCCTGTGTGATTTTTTTTAATTTGTGTAAACTGTCCGCGTCATAAGCAAAACGATTTTCAGATATGATATTTTCCAATAAGGAACTCATGTACCCCACGTTCGATTTGGCTATCACGCAAAAACTACATTTGATGTCCCGGGCTTTTTTTTCCAGTCCATAGCGGATTCTTACTTGTTTTTGGTATTTATCATAACCGGGCATGGACAGAGAGCTGTTGATAGCAGTCGATTGTTTGTTGAACGTCTTCACATTGTCCACGGCGTTCAAATAGCTTTTGTCAGATGTGGGAATGAAAAACCGTGCCTGGGTTATCTGAAATATTTATAAATATATAGTTATGTATTTATAGAAAGGTATTCTTAAAAATTCGCCAAATATTTCATAGATTATAATCTCAATTTTAATGACTTTCTGTTACACGAAAAAAACATCAATACATTTTTCAAAAAGCTGACATTCTATTTTTATATAAGAAACTGATTACTATCGGTTTTTTTTATGGCCGAAGATATTGAAAAAAACGATAAAAAATTTGTGTAAGACACAAACTCAAAATACATTTGACGACAAAAAATTCGAAAAAATGTTCATCGTAACTGACGCGCAGTGTAATTTACAAAAAAAAAAAACTAAAATATGTTTTAGAGTTTTATAATTTTAGCGAGTAAGCAATAATTTTTTATGGTGTCCAAAAAAATAAAAATAAAAAATTTTTTAATTTTTTCATCGTAACCGACATGCAGTGTAATTAAAAAAAAAACAAAAAACTGCTTCAGAGTCTTATGATTTTAGCCGTTATGCTCTAAGTAGACTGAAGCTTTATCAATTATCATTATTAACAAAATAAAATTTAGCAAAATCAGCCAAAAAAAAAAGAAGATTTGTTTATAGTGTACAACCATTGAGTATAATATATACTCAAGGTACAACTAATATCCACCGCAAAATATAAATTATTTCACGGAAAACTTATTGTTCATAATAAATGTTTACCTGGCTGTTACTTGTTGTTTCCATTGTTTTAGTATTTAAAATTAAAGCAAAACAACACAGCAAAATTGCACAAAGTTTGGCGATCATTGTTACTTTTTATTTTTAATTGCACTACAAGTCTCTAGTATGGTATGGTGTAACTATGACCAACCTACTAGAATCGCAAGACTTTATACGATAGCCAAAGTATAGCGAAAAAGGATACTAGGTAAGCAATTGTATTTTTCAAATTTACTCAACAACTTGTTTAACAACACTAGTTCATATAAATCATATGTTTACTCTGTATGCTCTGTCTAGACTGTGTCTAAATAGATATTTTATACAAATTTTTGTTAATCCGACTTCTTATGAAAAAAAAAAACGTTATAATAGAGCACATAAGGTTATCTCATCTGTGTAGACATATGGTTGAAATGGGTTCAGAATATATCAACAAAAAAAAAATACATTGTTGTAAAATCAACAATTATTTTCAGTTTCCCAACAAAGTTATTTGGTTAAACATAAATTATTGGTCTAGAGTTTGGATTTTTTGTATGGACCTTATATGACTTAAAATTCGAAGGGTATGATAAATCATAATAGTTGACAATATTCTTCATTTTGACCTATTTTTCTAGTATTTGTAAACACAGACGTATGAATATGTTTTTTCAACTGATGAACTTTGTATATTATTCATAAAACAAACTGATAAAATATGCAACATTGTTTAAAAGTCCGTCTTAAGTTTTATCGCTATTTTGAATATATTTTATTTACAGTTCTTCTACTATCCCCCTGTGCAAATGAAATATGTCCATCTGATATAATTAGTTTTATATACAAAAATGACAATGAGCTTTTTTTTTTGAACAGGTAGAAATAATTGGATTGTAAAATATGATAATGCATGATATATTGTTATATAACGCTATAAATGTCAACATTTGTGTTAATTTTGATCCGAAAATTATAAAAATAAATTGATTGAGAATATTATAATTCATTTCTTACTCAATACATTATGCATTTTTGATAACAATGTTAGCGAATCAGGTGTTTGTTGAATTTAACCTAATCTAAGCTTTAATAGTTGTTATCGAATACATTTTTTTTTGTCTGTTCCCTAGATAATAATTTTAACTCCAATGCAAAGCGGATGTTTTATTTTTTGTCTGAATCTAACATTAAAACGGCTAAGTTAATTTAGTTGATCAGCAAATCTACCAATCAGTAAGAATTGTGTTTACTATGCGCTTTGGCGAGGGAAGTTTTTAAATTGAAAAAATTTCACTTCTTCGGTCTTCTAAAATATTAAATCTACCCAAAAAAACAGAAGTAGTACAAACTTTTAACGCCACCACTTAAACGTATACCATAAATTAATTAATTTAAATAGATATTTTAACTGTACACATTTTCACATTTATTATTATTTTATAAAATAAATAAGATAAGAACATGAAAAAAAAGGATAGATAACGGGTGAGAGATAGGGGTAAGAGATGAGGGTTGGGGTTGGGGTAGGAATGGGAGTGGAGGCTTATATGTTGTATTCACTACGTTCAAAATAGAACTGAATAATAAATTCAATAATTAAAGGGGCCACTATCTCTATAAAGGTTTTGGGTCAGATGTTATGAAAACTTGGCTAGTAAACTTGATATGTAGAAGTAAAGCCACCTTAGATACATAAAAATGTATCTCGTGGTGTTGATGACTCGTACGCAAGCTGTTAAAATATAAAATGCCATACCTATGTTTTAACCTTAAATAGAGCCTTGCAAACCTTTTGAAATTTAAATTTATTTAATAAGATATAATAGTAAATTAAACGGTCCTCAAAGATTGACTAAGATGAAATTGTTGAAAACAATTTTATTAACTTAATAGTGTGAAATATAGATATAAAATGTTATTATAATATATTTATAATTGTTTTTTTTTAATTTTTTATTATATACTACCTATTCATTTTTTTACATAGTTAGTGTAAATTTTTTTTAGTTTTATTATTAAAGCTTAAAACTTTTATTAAGAAAAACTATCATATACTTATAAAATATTTAAATAAACCCTCAGTCACAAACATAATACTGTATAACGTATATTAGCCGAACTAAATGTATAATTGCTACAAATTTATTTGTCCCAACTATTTATTTAGTTATTCCAACTAGAAATTTATTGTGTCCCTATGGTCCTATATTAACCATAATTTTAGTTTGACCAACTATGTATTTTTTTCTGAGCACTTGCATTTCATATAATGCTATCAAGTTTTACATTAAATTTAATTGCACAAACATGTACAGCGAACACGCCATACTTAATTTTATTAGCCGTTACTCAAAACTACTCGAATTAAACCATCTAAGGCATCGTTTCCGTGGTGTAGCGGTTATCACATCTGCCTAACACGCAGAAGGTCCCCAGTTCGATCCTGGGCGGAAACAGTAACCTTTTTTTAGTTTTTTATTCATTTTTTTTAGTTTAGCTTAACAAATTATTCGGTGTTCTTTCATTTTTTATGTAAGTTTGACCAATTTGTTTTATCATCGAGATACATTTTGTGATAATATTATGCATCATTATTATTTTTTTTTTATACAAGCAGCCAAAGTAGGTATTTATAGTTTTAATTAAAGTTTACAGATTTTCTGAATGTGTTTTTAAGCATGTTTTGGGGATTTATGGACTAAATTTTAAACTAAAACCAAGTCTATCTAAAAATATGACTACATAAACATACCAAAGAACACCAACAATTTTGAACGTTGCGATTGGTGTTAACTTGGCCAATATTGGTTGGGTCTAGTCGAACCAATGTGTAAGTAATTTGTATAAGTAATTTAATTTTATGTGCTTCTTTTGAAAACGATTCGACGCTGTGCATGCTAACTGGACTAAATTAATTTCGCATCGAAGCGTTTAGTAGTGAAAGAATAACTAAAAAATTATGTTCAGATTAATAAAATGGCGTGACCCCACTTTGCTAACTTTTTTCTGACTATTTTATACTGTTCTTGTTTTTTTTCCCAGAAGTCATTTTGAGAAAAAATGTTGAGAATATTTCAATTCCTATTCTAAAATATTTTTTTCCCAATAGGCACTATTGTTAGTATTGCAAAAAAAAAATAAAATGGATGATTGAAAATTGATTGGGAAATTAGTAATTGCAATATTACGAGTTCATAATTTGACTCTCTGCATTTGCACTAAGTTAATTGGTTACATTACTATAACATAATAAATATTATGACATTAGTTACTAATGTCAGCTAATAATATTTAATTGGTAAAAATAATTCAAATGCTGTGTTAGTCTTAATAATTCATATGCATTGGCTAAGCAGCGAGTGGGGGGGGGGGGTGCTCGAAATACTAAAAACCTTATAATTGAAAATCACAGTTTATACAATATGATTGTAAATGTATTATTCTGTATTATTTTTAATGTAATATGCATACAGTTTTATAAAATACTTATATGATGATTAATTTCGATACTTGTATATTACAGTATCGTTTGTATATTGTGCAGAAAAGTATTTGCCAAAGTGATTAAAATGATAAAAAAACCGATATAACATTGGTGAAACTATAAAATATTTGTGTTTTTTTTTGTTAAGTATGACTGTTCTTATAACGTCATAACTTTAAAGGTCGTGCGTAACCCACATGTGTTTTCAATTGTTGTTTGCAATGCGACAATCGTTGTGAAAAATACTGTACAACAATATTATAATGTGTTAGCAAACAAAGGGATTTCAGCTAAAACTAAAAATGCTAGTTGTACCTATGCTCTTATAATATTATGCGTCAAACGCCAATTATTTTGTTATTAATTAGAAACACAGTAAATATATATATATATATATCTAATTTGTAACATACTGAAAAAACAGAGGACGAAAGATTCCAAATGAAAATATCAAAAAATTGTAGCACTCGCCTATTTGAAACCTATTTACAGGTTAGGTCCATCAAAGTGTTAAAAATGGGTTTTACCACTCGAAATTACAATTGAGGCTATTGCCATATAAGGATACGCTAAAAAATGATTTCTTACAAATTTCAACTTGATCCGACTTTTTTTTCGAAATTATAGCTAGTCGAAATTAAAAATTCATTAGTTTTTTCTGCCTATTTTAAGGATGAAGGAGTAACCTTTCCAGCTTTTACCCCTTCTAGGTGGCAAATAGATAAAACTACAAAATTAATTCATGACAACAGCAAAAAACAACAGTAAAACTATGTCCTTGAAAACTAGTCGTTTTAACATTTATTCAAGTTTAGATTTCGAGTTAATAGAATTTTTTGGATTCGGGTGGCGAAGCTTCAAATCCACATTGACTCCCATTTCACAAGTCCAAGTCAATTGTACTTCATGTCGATTGCTTTTGATGCGTGCTTACAACGGTTGTATGTTTTTCAACATAAACGACCGGTTGTGTACAACACTTGTCTTTTATAGGCGAAAACATAAATCAAGCAAATTAACAATATGCTGTGATATGGTATCACACTTTAGAGTGATGAAAATATATGCAAAAAAGTTTAGTTTGTGTACCATTTTTACTCTTATAAATATATCGATTTGAAACCCCACCATTCTTTTGTAAACACCCTGTATGTATATATATGTATACACGTTTAAAAATAAAGTAACCAATTGTATAGTACATCATAATATTCATACACTATTAACATTCATTATAATCATTCGTACTTGTACAAATACAAAGTAGATCACAGTAGAATGAAATTTACCTTTAGATAATTAAACATACAGTCCGTATGAATATATTTTCGGTGTATGTGCTCTGAAAATACTTGCATACGAATTTGTAAAATAGTTTATTATAGATAGATCTAGAAATTTAAACAGATGTGGCTAGTCAATTTTTGAAGTCTTTATATATTAACATACATCATAATCGAAAATAATTGTTGAACAATTTAAAAATGGTTTTCAGTTTTATTCAAAATCAATAGATATTTATAAGTTAACCCCCCCCCCCCCCGAAAAAATTCACTTCTAAGCACCTTATTGTCATTACAGGTAAAATGCTTTTAGGTAGTCGCATTCAGTTATAGACTTATGATCCACCTCCCCCCCCACCAATTACGCCCATATTCGAATGGGTTACATAAATTATAGTATAGCTGAATATCACGAATTCGATGAATTCAAAACTTTTCCAATTAGAGATATTCATAAGATTTTTTTTTATTTAATCGTCTCGAATAATAAAATAACGCTTATTTTTCTGTATTTCCTTAGGCAATAATATGTTGTTACAATAATTTGTCGTTACTTAAATTATTGTTTTTACTTGAAATTTCAATAACACATTTTACACGGTACATCTTGTATAAACATATATTTCAATGTATCCCTACGAAGCGTGTACAAAAAGTAAACAGATTTTGGACAAGTATCGACCCAAAGCAAGTCTCAAACGAATGTGAACCACTTAAACAAACAGAAGCCCCGTTTGTGTGCTTTATTCCAATAGCTATTATTTTGTATTCAAAATTATTTATGATTTTGTTTTTCCCAAATTTTTGGTCTTACACGAAATACGTCAGAAACACAAAACTCGTAAGCAAAACACGTTAAATTCCTAACAGCAGGTCTCATAAAAACCATACATATTTCCAATTACAATGATTTCAAACAAGATTGTACTCCTTTTTTTTGTCGCATGTTTTGTCGAGAAATGTAGTAGTACGGTTGAATGGCGAGAGATATTCAAGAGGAACGACAGCAATAGCGATGGTCTTATCGACGCTGTTGAATTACAGAAAATAATATTCCAAGATTTCAAAGGATTCATCACCGTTCGCCTTGCAGACATTTATATATCTTTCATTAATTTAAACGGTAATCAAAAAAAAAAAAGTCCCACGTTAAAAACCATTCTACAATTATTGATATAATTTTTTTTTCAGGAAGCAATAAAATAGGTTTTGAACAGTTCAAACGTATGGCACCGCTATTCGAGATTTTGTCGCAGGTTTGTTCAGTTCTATAATTTTTACTGCCCGAAGCGGGAGGGGGCGACTTTTTGAATTTTGTAGTTGCCTTGTTGAAAAAAACTGTTTCACATATCCCTGTAGAATATTCTAAAATTACCAGAATAATGTGGTCGTTAATCAGTTTTATTAGTCTTAAAAGTTGATAAATTTTAGGACGGAAGATAATGTCTAGTGTGGTATTGTTTTAATTTATTTAAGTATTATGATTGGAACGATTCTCGATTAGGGTGGATCGTGTGCCTGTAATAGTTATCAGCATAATTTAATGAACATCATTTTTATATACCTGTTTTAATGTTAATTCACCCGCAACAATAGCAACCCAGCGTTTTTCTATTGTCGAAGTGTAATTTTCCCTTAGCTTACTTTCACTGCAGTATTTTGAGAAAACCGTATAAGTTACAGCCACGCCATAGATTTACCTTTAGTGTAATTTTCAAATCTTAAGGCTCATAGCTACGGCCACGATAGCAAAACAAAGTAAAATATTCCACCTCTTCTAGATGCGGAATGGAGGAATAGGCTAAGAAATATTTAATTTAGTTTTTATTTAAATTATTTTTGATTATTGATCAACCTAAGTTTAACTGCAGCACCTTCTAATGCAGAAAATGTCAACGCGTATACATTTAATAATATAAGTTATTTACTCAAAACTTTCTTTCAACATGCTACCCTTTTTAGAAAAACTTACTCTTTAAACTTATATTGTTAAATTACTTATAGGTACTATGTTTATCAATAATATCTTTAATGTATCGGTATTTAGGAATACCAACTATATTTGTACTTTTATTATTAAAAATTGCGCATTTTATTTTTACACACAACTGCAACGAATTAAAAAAATAATTGTACTTTTAATTATTTATAAAATCACCAAAAGTAATTCCACAATATGTCAGCTAATTATGTGTTTTAGGGTGGAGTGAAGACACAATTGGAATATATTATTGTCTAATATTGTTAAATAACATAAATTTAAGAAACTCTAAACAGAAAAACTAGAGGAGTGTAATTATTTTTAGAAAAAACATTAGAGTATTATCCTAAAGGAACTAACTTTGTAAAAAAAATATATATATATACATTAAACCATACCAAATAAATCGTTATAGAGTGTACATAACATGTCTTTTTTGTTTTGTATTAGAGGGGAAATTCAGAGGACAATGACAAAGTCAACGGTAGTGAGACTATTTCGGTAGAAAATTTCCAGGTAAAATTATTGCAAAAATTTGGAGACGTGTTTAAAAAGAAGATAGAAGTTTTAGAACTATTCAAGCTCATCGGTCTAAACGGTATTAAAAAAACTTATCTTCCTATTAAAATTTGTTTTAAAATTATCCACAATTGTTTTCAGAAAAAGATTCAATTGGGAGCGAAAAGTCCAAGGAAATAGTAGACATTTTGAGGGCTACTCTAAAGGTTAACAGCTTAGATAATTACTTTTTTACTGTGATTAATCGTATCTAAATGTAATGGGAAAGAATAATTAGGGATTTTTAAGTCTTATTATCGTTATTGAATAGATTTTTTATTTTAACTTAACATTTTTTAATTCGAGTTGTGTAGATTTGAGCAAAAATTATAATAATAATATACTCAGTATATGATATATTTGAAGAAAACGTATTTTTTAAAAAACATTTTTTTAGTTAAATGACCTATACGGGGTATTTCGCTTATTCGACAAGGACAAAAATAACGTTTTCGACGGCGAAGAACTTGTTGAACTAATACAAAAGGTACGCCCAGATTTGGCGGCCGTAGAACGTGCAAAAGCTCAGATGAAGAGCTACGATACAAACGGTACGTACCTGAATAGGTCGTCGAAGTAAAAAATGTTTGTGAATGATATAATATACAATTTTCTAGGCAACGATGAGATTGATTTTGCTGAATTTTCAAACCTTTACTGTAGTCCGCTTCCCGCAGAGCAGACGTTCGAAGATATGTTTGGTAAACCACTCGTATCTATAGACGAACTTAACGATTTCTATGAACGACTACTCGGAGGACGACTTCCATTGAACCTGATAAATCAACTAGATCCTTTACGTAAAAACAAAATATCTTATCAAGGTAAATAATATATTATTATATTACCAATTGTATGCAGATTTTTGTATCTGGGACTTCACTACATTTTAGCGTTTGAATAAAAATGTATATCAAAATAAAATTCTATCAATCTGTTCGTTTCCTATAACTTTGTACAATTATGACGTTGCCCCGTATTTTTCAAGGTTTCCAAAAAAAAAAAATAGCCCACAAAAATCATGTTTATGTTCGCATTGTCAGATAGGCGAAAATGATACACAAGCGGTTCTTATCTAGCTATTATCAGCCGGATCAGCCTGTATGGTCATTTCTGACTTCCATTGAAAATATATACTGAGAAAATCATAGTTATAGCTTTGAATACTAATGATAATGTATACTGTAATTACCTATTCCTTTAGTTATAACTTATAATTTTTTTTTAGTGCAAGATCAGTCAGTGATTTACTTTAAATATTGTGTATTTGTTTCAGACATCAATAAAATTGCAAACGTTTTTTAAATAGTTAGTGAGGAAACTATGCACATTTAATACAAATTTCAAGTATATATGTCAATAGCGAACGTAATCAAAAGATTGTCTAATTAATTTGTATAACTGCTAAAGATTAATGATATTGTAATAAAATATTTGTTTGCCTGTTTTTTTCAGTTTTACATTATTTTATAAAAATAGATATTTTCCTTCACCTTTTCACAGACGGTTAATAACCCATTAAGATTTTATTCAAAACTGTAAAGGTCTAGTTTCGAACCATTCAGCCAATTCACCTATTAAGTAGATGTAATCATCAAGATTACACATTGATACACACAAATACATTCATTCCTTCTTGTTATCACATATTTTAATAAACAGTATTTTTTTTTAATCTAAACATGGGTATGTAATTTCTTTTGTTATTTAAATTTTTTTCCGTTATGTCATGAATTGTGATGAGTCCACAACCTGTGTTTATCGTTCTTAATTTTTTTTTAACTAGCCACCTCAAAAATATATTTGTAATACTGTCAATCGTTGATACCAACCCTGATTAAATTGGATTCCATGAAGAACCCCAGTAGGGGTTTGAGTCAGTTTAAATTGTTGAAATCCCAACAATGTCGCTTAAAAAAACCTAGCATATTTTTTATTTAACATAGTTTTATCTCTAGGATGTATAATAATATGTTTTGAGAAAGGGAGATCGACAGAAATGATCTAGATTTGTATTAACATTAATTAATTCATCTTGAATTTGCATTAATTATACACAACCCTTTTGTATAAAATGACGAACAAGATACATCTTATACGTAATTATGCAATGGTTTTGTGTGCAATAGCAAAGCATACCTACAAATTTATATCTTAGTAGATACTTAGTACAGTGCTACGCTCCAAACATAATCCTTTAGTAGATTTTCCTCACTCTAATGTCAATATTTCTAGATAAAGACATGTTTTTTTTGCTTTAAAATCTCCCTGGTACTAGATATTTTTATTCATTTACTTGCTCTGGTAGGTTTCCATTCAGAATCATTTGAGTTTGGGTTCCTTCGTTACGGTTACAATATTGTTTTCAATATTGCACAGGTTTTTAGTATTTTCAACCGATAAAGAATTTAAGTTTAAAACCGTTATAAGAAGAATAATATTATTATCTAAAATAATATTCCAAATTAATGTTTTATTCATATTTCTTAATGCTACATGTGTCTAAATAAAACAAAAGAACTAGTCACGCATTTATTGAAAATTGATATACATAGAAATAATTTAGTAACGATAGAATTAAAAAACGTATTTTTAGCATAATTCTAAAATACGAACGATAATCATTAACCAAGCAAGATTTTTTATTTAACAATAATATTAATAATAATTAGTCGACTGTTAACAAAAAAAAAAGTAACTTCACTGGCACTTTACTGAAGCAGTAAAACCCCAAATTTTGTGTTTTGATTTCAAATAAAGCTTAATTACAGTATAATAAATTTGTTAACATAGTAGATTTTATTAACTATATAATACTACTATATTAACTAGTATTGCTTTACTAATAAACAAGTATAATAACACAATGAAAACAATATGTAATATGGTTTATTTAATGCAAACGTTTATGCTTGCAATGACATTATACGGTTTCATACGATTTTTGTTGTGTGAAAATGTTGAAGTAGGGTACCTAAGTAAATAATATTTTCATAATAAATTGAATTTCGCATAATTCTTAAGCGATACTTAAATTGTGTTATAATTTGATTTACAAACAGTGTGTTCGTAATATAAAATTTAAATATCTTGAGCAGCAGACGATTGAACTACATCTATGAAATGCAAAAACACTTTATATTCGAACGGCATGCATACGCTTTCCAACTCGTCTAAATAACCTTGAAAATCATCAATGATCCTAATTACAAAATCGGTGTTAGACAGTTGGCCTTCGTTAATGTTGAAACTGAGCCAATCGCTTTCGTTTGAGCTACCACCGTTTAAATTGTTAAGGATCTCGTTGGCCTTTGTCTTCACTCTTCCTAAAATATCTGTTATGTCATTGATGTCGCTTATTATTCCAAACTTAAATTCTGATACAACATTCAAAAGAAAATCATTTTTGTACTCTATTATATTCAACGCGTTTTTGTTAACATCATCTATAAGATTTCTGGTGTTTTCCATCGTCTGTTCGTCAAGTATGGAAAACTGCTTTTCATAAATATGCAGTACAACAGAAAAGAAACAATAAAATCTGGCATTAATAATGTTGATTACAAATTGTTGGTGGTCGAATCGACCGTATGGTTTGTAAATCCAAGTGCGATTTTCCACAAATGCTCTGGTAATAGCGACCTCGACTTCATGTCGTTGTTTAACATTACTCCAATCGACATGGACTCCGGCTATTTGTCTGAACAATATTTGACGTGTGTCGTTCCAAAATGGTTTAAGATATAAAAAGTGTGTCGTGACCAAATAAGTGCCGCTTAAAACAAGTGTACCCCATCTGGAACTGCGTAGATCGCAAATCATTTTTTCATATATATTCGGATTTGTCGAAATCAAATCAGATTCTATTGTATTCTTGGGAAGATATGCAAAGCGTCTATTTAAAAAATCTGCAAATGTTCTGGAATGGAGTAAAAAATAAAACATATAATTGTATACATTCGGTGTTTTCGAAACCACATCAGATTCTATTGCAGTCTTAGGTAGGTAATCGGCGGCTTCACATTTTTTTATGAAATCTGTAACGCCAGATTGAAACTGGTTGTCTTCGAATGGGTTTTCCTGGATGAAACGTTTGTTATCTTCGTATTGGCTGATTGCAATGATTTTCAAATAATAACTCCAAAGCCATTTTCCTGTTTCAAAATTTCCCCACACTAATAAATGTAGTATAAGTCCGGCTTCTTCTTTAAGACGTGTTAAAGTCTCCTCATTATTAATGAAAGGCTCTCCATTTTCTAGCTTTACAAATAAGTCCTTCAAGTATAATAATTTTGATTTTGCAACTAAAGAAAAACTACAATTGATGTCTTTAGCTTTTGTCTTTAATTTATCACGGCTTTTTAATTGTAATTCGTAATCCCAAAAAGTTTCCAAAGAGCGGGTTGTCAAAAGTGCCATGTCGTCGTATGTAATACTAACTGAATGTTTGTTGTATGTTGTCAAACTATTTATGGCTTGTACATAGCTTACATCATTTAATCGTACATATAACCGCAAAGGGGCAATCTATAAAACAATTTTGTTTATAAATAATTATAAAAAAGTAATTTTAAAAACAAACAAAGTAAAAATTGTCGTCTAAAAACTGGTAATAATAATTATTAAACACTATTAAAAACAAAAAATGTAGTCTCGTAATAATCTATAATTCACCCATGGTTATTTTACTTTAAAAAAAATTAAACTAAATCTCAGTATGGTGCAGCTACTTAACATAATTTATTTTAAATATATTGTCTGAAAATGTTTAATTGTGAATTCCAATTAACAGAAAGAAGTCGATTGTTTGTGGAACGTCGTCACAATGTCAACGGTGCGCACATAGTCTTTGTCATACGTAGGAACGAAAAACCGTGCGGAGGTTATCTAAAAAATATATATATATATAGTTGTAAAATATATAAAACAGTATCTTTAAAGTTAGCCAAATTTAACTTAACATTTAATAACTGATAATATTTATAGGTATATAAACTATTTATAAACATAAAAGTGACTTAGATAGCCATAAAACAGTCCTATGATATATAAATGTATAAAACGTCAAATATTTCATAGAGAAGTAAATAAAACGAACACAGTAATCAAAACAATTGAAAAAATTAATAAATAAGATAACTTTTGTATCTTTTTGACTTTTCTATTAATTTGCATCTATTTTTGTTATTCCAAACGTTTTTATGAGATCCCAGATTGAAATTTAAACGTTTTATGTACGAATTTCCTAGCTATTTGAAAAAAAAATTCTCAAATTTTAAAACATGAAAAAGCCGACTTTTTAGATTATAAACTCAATTTTAATGACTTTCTGTTACACGAAAAAAAATATTCTATATTTTTTTCAGAATGTTGATAGTTTTTTTTTACATAAACAACTGATTATCATCGGTATTTTCTATGGCCGAAGATACTAAAAACGATAAAAATATGTGTCAAGAAACAAACTCAAAATACTTTTAGCCAAATAATTGAAAAAAAAAATCCAAAAAATGTAAAGTTGTTTTTTATTGTAACTGAAATGCATTGTGATATAAAAAAAAAAAAAAAAACTAAAGTATGTTTTAGAGTTTTATAATTTTAGCCGTTAGGCTCTAAGCAGGCATTAGCTTTTTCATTATTATCAAAATATATTTTAGCGTAAGAAATCATTTTTTTAAAGCGTACAACTGAGATTTACCGCAAAATATAAATTATTTTACTTAAAACTCATAGTTCATAATAAATGCTTACCTGGTTGTTACTTACTGATACGATTGTTTTTATGTTTAAAATTAAAGCAAAACAACATAACAAAAATGCACAAATGTTTGCGTTCATTTTTATTTTTATGTACAATACAAGTCTTGTGTATGGTATGGTGTAACTATGACTGAACTATTATATTCGCAAAACTTTACACCATAGACAAAGTTTTGCAAAAGAAAGAAAACTAGGTCAAAAATTGTTTTTTTTTTCAATTTTGTCCAACAAATTGTTAAACAACACTAGTTCATATAAATTACATTTTCGGTTTGTCTACGTATATTGACTCTGTATCCGACTTCTTATAAAAAAAAAACGTTACAACAAAGCCTTAATTTTTAGTTTTATTTTATTATATCATCATATAACTATGTAAAACGGAGTTTTATCGCGGTAAATAAAGAACTATTATTATAATAGTTTCAATTATGATTGATTGTTAAAATTCCTAAAAGTAACTAACTAAATTTTCAAATACATGAGGAACAACACATAAATCTCAATTATTTTTTATATATTTTATTTATTTCGATAATACTAGATTCACAAACGTTGCGTTATGCATTCACGCCGACCATTTAACTATATCCAAGAAATGCAAAAGCCATCTATACTCGAACGGCAAGCAGATGCTTTTCAATTCGTTCATATAGTCTTTGAAATTCTTAATGACTAATGCGGTGAACTCGTTGCTGGACTGCAATTGGTTGACGTTGAAACCGAGCCGATCGACTCCACTGGAACCGTGTAGTTCGTTTAGGACCTCATTGGCTTTTGCCTTGACACCGGTTGATATTTTTGTTATTTCTACGATGTTTCCTTCACTTGCCGTCTTGAGATCCGATATGACGACCACGAGGAATTTGTCTTTGAACGCCGTCAACTGTAACGCGTCTTGGACAACGTCTGCGATAGCGTCTTTGGTCTGTCTCAGCGTCCTCGGTTCGAAGCGTCCGGCTGTTAGCTGTTTCTCGTAAACGTGCAGCACCACCGCAAGGTGACAATACAATCTGGCGTCGATAATCCTGACCAACAAGAGTTGGTGGTCCATCCGTTCGTACGGTGTGTAAATCCAATGTTTGTTTTCGAAAAATGTCCTGGTCGCCGGCACCTCGGTCAGGTGTTTTTGTTTCGCCACGTTCCAATCCACATTGGTATAGGCTATTTGCCTGAACAAAAATTCATTCCGGTCTTCCCAGAACGGTGCCAAATACAGAAGTGTTAACATCAGGTTGTAATTGCGATTGGTTGTAAGCGGTATAGCGCTTAGACCATTTAAAAAACGACCGTGTCCCTTAGGGTTGTTCGAAACGAAATCCGGTGCCATAGCGGTTTCCGGAAGGTTTTTTTCACGTATACAAGTGCCGATGAATTCCGAAACGCCGGTTTGCAGCAAACGGTCACTTTCGAACGGGTCTACGTCGCGTTTGAAACCGTTTTTAAAGTCGTCGTATTCTGCGATGGCGATCGTTTTCAAAAAATGACTCCAAAGCCACTTGCCCGTTTCCAAATTTTCGGCCAGCAACAGTTCAACTATCATCGTGGTTTCCAGTTGGATTTGTCTTAATTTGTGTAAATCGTCGTCGTCATAAGAAAAACGTTTTACGGCTACAAAACTTTCCAATAAGTACTTCAAGTACACCGCGTTCGATTTGGCGATCACGCAAAAAGTACATTTGATGTCCCCGGCTTTTTTCTCCAGTCTATCGCGGCTTTTTATTTTTTTTTGGTATTTCTCAATATCGTTCACAACGGGCATGGAAAGAATACTCTGCTTGTTGATAGTGGTCGATTGTTTGTTGAACGTCTTCACATTGTCCACGGCGCGCACATAGTTTTTGTCAGATGTCGGAACGAAAAACCGTGCGGGGGTTATCTAAAACATATACAAATATATAGTTATGTAAATATAAAAAAGTAACTTTAAAAATACGCCAAATTCGACTTAGCTAACTAATAATAGTTATTGTTATATGAACTGTTTATAAGCAAATATGTGACTTGGACAGCCTCGAAAAAATCCTATTATACATATATCTATACATATATAACGCCAAATATTTCATAGAAAAGTCGAAAAAACGACCACAGTAATCAAAATAGTTGAAATAATTGTGTGTAAAAAAAAATAATTGCCGGTTTTTTCGACTTTTCTATGAACTTTCAACGTTTTAATGAGATCCAGTTTGAAATTTTATGTACAGTTTTATGTACGAATTTCTTAGCTTTTTGCAAAATATATTATAAAACTTCTCAAATTTGTGGCAAAATGTAAAAGCCGACTTATTAGATTATAAACTATGGCCAAAGACACCAAAAAAAAAAAAAACGATAATACCCAGTTTCTTATATAAAAATATTTTGTCAGCTTTCTGAAAAAAATTAAACACTTTTTTATCGTAACCGATATGCAGTGCAATTTTCAACAAAAAAAAAACCTAGAGCATTTTTTTGAGTTTTATAATTTTAGCCGTTAGGCTCTTAGCAGACTGTAGCTTTTTCAGTATTATCAAAGTATATTTTAGAGTAAGAAATAATTGTTTATAGTGTACAACTAATATCCACCGCAAAATATAAATTATTTCACGGAAAACTTATAGTTCATAATAAATGCTTACTTGGCTGTTACTTGTTGTTTCCATTGTTTTAGTGTTTAAAATTAAAGCAAAACAACAAAGCAAAATTGCACAAAGTTTGGCGATCATTGTTATTTTATATTTTTAATTGCACTACAAGTCGTTTGTATGGTATAGTGTAACTATGACCAATCTATTAGAATCGCAAGACTTTATACGATAGCCAAAGTATAGCGAAAAAGGATACTAGGTAAGCAATTGTATTTTTCAAATTTACTCAACAACTTGTTGAACAACACTAGTTCATATAAATCATATCTTCGGTTTGTACTTTGTCTACGTATGTTGACTCTGTATGCTCTGTCTAGTCTGTGTCCAAATATATATTTTATACAAATTTCTATTAATCCGACTTCTTATAAAAAAAAAAAACGCTATAACAAAGTACAAAAGGTTATCTCATCTGTGTAGACATATGGTTGAAATGGGTTAAGAATATATCAACAAAAAAAAATACATTATTGTAAAATCAACAATTATTCTTAGTTTGCCAACAAAGTTATTTGGTTAAATATAAATTATTGGTCTAGAGTTTGGATTTTTTGTATTTACCTTATATAACTCAAAATTCGAAGGGTAAGATGAATCATAATAGTTGACAATATTCTCCATTTTGACCTATTTTTCTAGTATTTGTGCACATAGATGTGCAATATTATAATTAAGTTGACTAGTGTAATGGGTACATATTTTACTAAAAGTTCATTTATACTATCTATCAATGATTGTGTTTAGCTCGAATTTCAGACTATAAGCTCAAAGTAAATCATTTATTATTAATATTGACCTTTACACCGAATTCGAAAACTTAAAAAAGTTCACTCGTTGTACTAATTTTAAAACTTATTGAAATGTGTACATTTTTTTTTCTAATCAACTATTAGCTAACGGATTACAAACATGTATACAGTTAACAACAAAATTGAGCGATCGGCCGGTAAAAGTTATTGAGAAATAATTAAAAGTATTAAAATATATATGGGAAATAGGACATAGTATATTTGTAAAAAGACTCTAATTGAAATCTATTATACAAGTTCAAATTCGGGCGAAACTCGTTTATGGTAAATTGAGATTTAAAATACCGAGGGATAGAGGTCTCTCAGTTTAAGTAAATCTAAGCAGAAAAAAATAATAATGTGTGCCTGTATTGTTCAAATAATGCAATATTTTCATATTAAACTAAGAAAATATGTAGGTTAACTATGTACTTACGGTTTGAAGAAAACAAATAGCAACAGATATTATGTCTGCTTTACAAATGTATCTGATTCAATAAACTGTATGAAATGCTTGATAGGATAGCAAGTAACCGAAAATATATTTCAAACAATTTAAACCATCGGTTTAAAAGAACAGATATGTGTAATATTCTTAAGGCTTAGTTGCTTTTGATCTTGTAAGATAAAATTCAATTCAAAACATGTCAAAGTTAAGTCACGTCTATGTAATATAATGTCCTGGAACGGAACTGTTTATATCGTCCTAAATTTACAAAAGATCTAAATTAATTTCAACATGTTCTTAATACATTATTTTTTACTAGCTGAAACTCAGTTAAGCTGCCATTTATTCCTTTTAATCGACACTTTTTGTAATTATAAGAAATATTATCAACTTTAGCTTAGTAACGTTTGCAATTCTTGACAGAAAAAATGAAAAGTTTCTATCAACCAAAAAACAAGTTTTTTTGAAATAATACTTTGACTGTTAATAAGGTATTATGAAAATAATGTGATTATCAAAGATTTTTTTTGGTAAAATTTTAGAAAACCTAAAGCTATAAACAAAAAAATCACTGGTAAACTGGTTATTTCGATAATGAAAAAAAACCAGTACAGTGGGGTCGGGGCATAGTGGGGACGGAGCATAGTTGGGTAGGGGCATAGTGGTGACGGGGAGGTCACAGGTTTACAGGAATTTTTAAATCTGAAAGTGATAAAATCACTTTCGAAAAAACGCTTCGATGCAAATCGGTAGTTAGTATTTTCAAGCCAGTACAGTCCAAACCAAGCACAGTATAAACCAGCAAAGTTAGAAAGTTTTAAATGAAGGTTCTGTATTTACAAATGAGCATCAAAGCGTTTATTTGAAAGCGATTTTATCCGAGAGGACTAGTACAGTAGAGTATTGGCATAATTTAATCAAAGCAATGCGGAAACGGAGAGGTCACAGGTCTACAAGAATTATTATAAATAAAAGTGATAAAATTGAATAAAATCGATCAGTCAATATCGATTTTGTTGCTCATTTTTTTTATAATTAACACATAAATAAAAATTATAAATATAAAATAAACTAAAAAATTAAAACTTTCGTGAGTGGTCGCGCGACATACAATTGTAATCCAACACACATTGACCTTAGATAACGACGACAAACGCTACGAACGGTATTCGATAACGAACTGATAAAATGTAACAGTATGTCATTTGAAGGTACTGAAAGTTTAAGGTAATTCCAGTGGTTATTAAAATAGGAGAGTTAGTTTATTTTTTGATGGATTACAATAGTAATCCGCGCGACCTTTGCGGGGTAATGTTTATGGTTAGTTCCTATTCGGGAATTATGCTTAAAAACCGTTAACAAACATCCAGTTACTATTAAAACTCAAGAACCGATTATTCTAACAAAAAGTTGTGGTCATTTTAAGTTTATAAAAATTAAATTCCTTAAGGCCAGTCATTAAAGGAAATATACCGTAAAGTTTTTTGTAAAGTTGTATTGATATAATATTTACTTTAATATACTAAAAGTCCCGTTTTGTAAAAGTCACAAATTTGTTTTCGTATTTTTTTTTATAATAAACAATAATTTTGTTTATTATACAATATACATACATCTTTTACATGCGGTCAATTTGGATATTCTTAAAAATTATAGCTGTACAAAATACAGCTTTGTGTTAGGTATTATATTACACGTTTACAATGAACTTGATAAGCATATAATATCATTGTTAGTTGTATACATTTATAATTTATCCTACTGTAATTATGACATAGAAATATTATTTAAAACAGTTGCGACTAATTATATATTATTTTTTAAAATATTATCTGCTGTATATTGGCGTTATAAGAATGCTAAGTAATTGCTTCATCAGTAGGAGGAAGTAACGCCAAATTTATTTTATTTTTTGTAACTCATTTTACAAAAGTATTATATCTATGTTTGTTTATAGATATGTCGTTCTGTGGTGCTCCACATATAGATAGAAAACTTTAAATTCAATTTTTTGCTATTTCATTGTGCGAAGAAAAGAGATTATTGTACTTAAACCTTTTTAATATATATTAAAGTACATACATCTATAGAACTTAAAAAAAAATTTTTGGTTGGAACTTCGTTCCGCTATTTGCCAAATTGTTTTCTTTATTGGCTGGCCTACTAAGGAAATTAGAGAGAGAGAAACCACTTTTATTTAATACAAAGCGAGCTGCCCACTATGCGGGTTGCCAAACGACACAGCATACTAATCAATACACAAATACATAGGACAATTTCACAATATAAATACACACTATTAAAGTGTTCAAGACTAAAAATAATGTTTTTGTGTAATTTTCATAATGAATTTTATTCATAGAAAAAATTATTTAAATTAAAAATAAATATCTGGAAACTTATAGAAATTAACCAGAAAATAATTAACATGGTCAAAATTGTATATGATCCATTTTTTGTCCTATAACTTTCAATACAAAAATCGTTTAAAACAGACCACTTGCCAATCCCTTAATTCAAATTTATTTATTGTGACCGGTCGTAAATGTTGTCGCCATCGAACAACCTGAAAATAAAAAGTAATTTTATTGGCTACTTCTTTTAAAATAATAAATTATAGAAACGCTAGCTATTGTGAACGCTGATTCGTATGTTTTTCCTATCTTTTTATTTCAATATGTGTTCATAATGCATTGACGTCATTCGAATCGTATTTGTTTTGCAAAATGTCCACAATATGCCAACTCTATTTTACTGGCTTTTTTACTATTAACAGGGATTTTATGTAAGATCAATATTCGGTGTCTAACCGAAAAATATCATTTGTATAAACAAGTGATGTCAAAAAAAGTTATAAAACGAAATTATTTACTAATGTTTTTTTTTTTATCCACCGTAGTATGTCTTGCGAGTGTAATGTATTAGTACTTGTTACTACACTGTATCATACGCAAGACTTGTATTTTACTTAGTATAAATAATATAAAAAAAAATATGATTGCCAACCATTGTGCATTTTTGGTGTGTTGTTTTGCTATAACATCAAATATAACAACAATCAAATCAACACGTAACCACCAGGTAAGCTTTTATTTTAAAATATTTTTTTTAAGTGAAATAATTTTAGTCTTATATTTTACGGTAGAAAGCAGTCATACAAATATATATATATATATATATATATATATAATTATTTCTTACGTTAAAATGATAAACATGTTTTATAAAAAAGAAAAGCATCTACAAAATATATAATGTATTATAGAATTATTTTAGATATGTATAAAATACACTATATTTATTTCATATTTTTACAAATTCAATATTTCTATTTATTAGTATTTACAATTAAACATATCTAGACAATATAAAGTAATTAAATCATAGATATTGTTTCAGAAAAGATTGTTGTTAATATTTCAAAACCTATGATTATCTGTTTCAAACGAAAAATTTACTTTTTTATATTACTGTAATTATGTTTTTTTTATAGATTACTCCTTTACGAATATCCACTCAATCAAATTGTCCAAAATTTTTACTTACAATAGATGAATTGATAACATACAACAAAAAGTCAATTAGTATTAATGAAACCGACGTGAGAAATCTATCAAACCGTAATGTGGGCACTTATTCGGATTACGAATTAAAATTAAAAAGCATCGTTAAATTAGAGAAAAAAGCTAAAGACATCAAATGTAGTTTTTGTGTAATTGCGAATTCAAAATTATTATACTTGAAGGACTTATTTGTAAAACTAAAAAATGGAGAGCCTTTCATTAACAACGAGGGGTCTGTAACACGTCTTAAAGAAGAAGCCGGACTTATACTACATTTATTACTGTGGGGAAATTTTGTAACGGGCAAATGGCTTTGGATTTATTATTTAAAAACTATTGCAATTAGCCAATACGAAGAAAACAAACGTTTCATCCAGGAAAACCCATTCGAAGACAACCAACTGCAATCTGGCGTTATAAATTTCATAAAAAAATGTGTAACTGACAATTACCTACCTGAGACCGCCATAGAATCTGATTTGGTTTCGAAAAACCCGAAAGTGTACGAAAAAATATTTTTTTTATTACTCCATTCCAGAAAATTTGCAGATATTTTAAATAGACGTGCCCCATTGGCACCGACCGAGTTTTTATATCTAAAACCATTCTGGGACGACGAAAGTCAATTTTTGTTTAGACAAATACCAGAAGTCAATGTCGATTGGAGTAATGCGAAACAACGTCATGATGGCGAGGTTGCTATAACTAAAGAATTTGTGAAAAATCACACTTGGGTCCATGATCCGTACGGACGACTCGAACACCAACATTTGGTAATCAAAATTATCGATGCCAGATTTTATTGTTACTTTTCGGTTTTATTGCATATCTATGAAAAACAATTTTCCATACTCGACCAACAAACGTTAAGACACAACAAAATACTTATAAATAACGTTATCGCAAACGCATTGGATTTAATGGCGTATAAAGATGATTTTCTGGTGAATATTATATCGGAATTCAGATTTGGAATAATACGCGACATAAATGACATAAAATATATTTTAGCAAAATCAAAGACAAAGGCCAACGAGATCCTAAAAGATTTGAATGGAGTCAGCACAAACGTAATCGATTGGCAAAGTTTCAACATTAACGAAGGCCAACTGTCTGCTGACGATTTGCAAAGAATCATTGATGATTTGAAACTTTTTTTTAATGACTTAAATAGATTCTGCCTGCCGTTTGAATATAAAATGTTTTTGCATTTCGTAGATGTAGTTCAATCGTCGTCTACTTAAAAAAATTAAACTATAAATTATTTACACAATGTCAAATTATAATAAAATAAAATAAATCGAAAAGAATTGCTGTTTTAAGTTTCAAACGTCATCGAAAAAATTTGGAATATTATATTAATTTTTAATGTGTTATGATATTTAAGCAATGTAAAATATTAACTATGAGCTACCGTATAATGTTAAAGAAATCATAATAGGTTTGTATTAATTATGTCATTCATTAAATACATTATTTCAGTATAGTTATAGTATACTTAAAAGAATATACGTTAAACACCAAAAAAATTAACATGGTTGAAATTTATTAAAACCTCTTTTTTCTTTAATACCGTTTACACAAAATTCCTTGAAAACCGACCTCATGCAATCCCCTTATTTAAAAATGTATTTGATTGACTGGTTATAGGTGATATCACCTGTCGGACAATTCAAACATAAGTAGGAATTATATGAGCTACTTTTTACGAATGCAGACTTATAAAAATACAAATAATCTAGATAGATTTCTGTGGGAAATTTCATTTTGCATTATTTCATATCTTTCATATCGTCCAACTTGATTATTTTTAGAGTCAATTTTCTATAATTATATAAATATATTTACATCATGATTGATGGCAGGTGGTCAAATGCATTATAATGTTATAGTATATGTTAAATCAAAATACAAAATTAGGATTTAATTGTTTCAGTATGCTATTGAAGTTACATTTAAATTATTATTATTATTATTAGATAATTAAATGAAAAATCTTACTTGGTTTATGTTTAAAGTTCATATTTTATAAATTATGCTTAAAAACATTTAACAATCATCCAGTTAAAACTGGATTATTATTAAAACTGTAGAACAGAATGTTCTTGCAAGAAGTTGTGGTAATTCAAGTTACAAAATAAAAAATAAAAATCCTAGGGAAATAATAGAAAAATGTTCAAGACAAAAAAAAAGACGATTTTATTCAATTTTATCACTTTTGTTTCTAATAATTATAATAATAATTTATAATAATTCTTGTAGACCTATGTCCTCTCCGTTTCCTCATTGCTTTGATTACATTATGCCAATACTCTACTGTACTAGTCCTCTCGGATAAAATCACTTTCAAATAAACGCTTTGATGCTCATTTGTAAATACAGAACCTTAATTTAAAACTTTCTTACTTTGCTGGTTATACTGTGCTTGGTTTGGACTGTACTGGCTTGAAAATACTAACTACCGATTTGCATCGAAGCGTTTTTTCGAAAGTGATTTTATCACTTTCAGATTTAAAAATTCCTGTAATCCCTATGCCTATCCCTAAATTATAATTGTTTATTCTCAATAAAATTAATATTTATATTTTATTTACTTCCATTAGAGCAATCTCGCACAAACTATTTATACTTCATAGATTATATTATTTCAAAGCTCTATTATACTCTATTTTACTAGATTGACAATGTACAAAACAAAATGCAACTAAAAAAACCTTTTCATAGATCCTTAAAATATAAAGGGAGGGGTAATGGAACGGGTTTTCCCATTTAAATACATTGGAAAATCGTCCGTTTTACTGCCCCACCTGTATATTAATTTCTTGTTATTTTCTAAAGAAAAATTGATTTTCTTACATTTAAATTGAAATAAATCGTATACTGGTACTGTGATGGAGAAAACAATAAATTTTACCTACATATTTTACTTATTAGTTAAATATTACTAACGTGTATAGCCACTAGCGGTCGGCTGTTACCTGTTTTTTAACAATAACCTTTTATGGATATTTTAATAATAGTATAGGAGCAGTATCATGATGTTAAATGTTCACGAGATTTGATCTAGTCATAAAATAAAGTACTATCATTCATGACTTTTAAATACTATTCAAATATATCTTAACTTGAACACAGTAATAAAATAATGAAATATTTTATACAAAATTAGAGCTACAAAATTATAAACTAAAAAATTAAAACTATCACGAAGCAGATTACATATCTTATATAAGATAATTTAAACAATCAAGCGTGAATCTCTTTAAATGAATAGCAGTATAACAATATGCAAAACAATAGTTTTCCTTTAAAAAAATTGTGTAATAAAAAATACATTTTGGGGCGGTAAACTGCATAAAAACCAACACTTAATCTGAATCCAAAAAACAACAGTCCTTTTCATAATTTGCAGGTAGTTGGAACTTATATACTCAAAGTTGACCTTCGGTAATATAACGCAGGCGATAAAATAACGAGATAACGACAGTGGTTTTGTTGTATCAGAATCATTAAGTGTCTTAATAAGTACACGGATAGGTTCTTTTCCCAATAAATCGTGTGTCTACTATAATCAGTTACACGATTTAGTCGTCTGTGATATCATGTAATAAACACAATATTATGATAACGACCAAAGGGCCCTAAACTAACCTAACACGGATAGACGTTACCAACTGGTAGTTTTTAGTGTCTGTTCGTTGCTCCCATCTGGTACACCGGGTTTTTAGTTAAAAAAAAAAAAAAATTGAATTTGTGTAAACTTAAAGTCAAAAGTGGTACTTGAGCACAAAACTTAATAGTATCATTCTGCATAGATATACATAATTTTTTTTTGATGATTTCATCAATTTTTTTATAGCTTTTAGGTGTTTTTGTTAAAATATACGAAATCTGCGAAAACACAGTTTGCCGGCAATTAAAAAAAAACTGTAGTGCCGAATTTTTTTCCGTTAATATATTATGGATACATATGAGTTCCAACTACTGGCAAATTTTCAACCCAAAGCTTTAAAATTACGGCTAAAAACCCCGAAAAACAAAAAAACTTGTACCCCCCTAGGGGTTTGGGAAATGGGTATGGTTTAAATTTGACACAACTGACGTGTGCGGCCATACCAAATAATTATTTCTTATACATTTCAACTCGATCCGACTCTTTTTCTCGAAATTATAGCCAGTAAAAGTTCTAACTTAAAAACTCGTACGTTTTTTTTTTGTTTTTTCAACTTTCGTCTGTGAAGAGTTAAACTTTTTCAACTTTTACCCCCCCAAAGTACAAACTAGATAAAATTTGTGATTTATAAAGTTGCTGTTCGAAGGAATTGGTCTAGTATTAAAAAAATTACAGAGTATACAGCGAAAAAAAAAGCCTACATCAGAGTAAAACCAATACCTTCTCGCTTTGCATCGAAGCTAAAAATATTATATTTGTTACATATTTTCTAAATCAATAAATATAATACAATATGACAAGAATGCCATTTTCTAGTCCGTAACTTTTATCATTTATCTATTAAATGTTGCCCACACTCAGTTAAAACAGGTTAATAGTTCTATGGGCTTTGTGACTCTATTATAATAGAGCATAAGCGAAATAGTTCTGTTTGAAAACTTTTACAATTTTTAGCGATCTTTACAATAAGATTTAACATTCAAATTATAAATGTACTACAAACGAGTATCGAAAAATTTACACGAATTTATAAAACTATTGTCGTTTTACCCATTTCAAAGTACGGTTAAAATTTGTAGAAATTTTTGTTTTCAATTGTATACATTCAGGTTAATAAAATGGCGTGACTCCACTTCGCTAACTTCTTACTGACCATTTTATACTGTTCTTGGTTTTTTCCCAAAAGTCATTTTGTGGATAAATATTTCCTGTTCTAAAAGATTTTTCCCCAATAGGCACTTATTGTTACAATTGCAAAAAAAATAAAATGGACCATTGAACAGTTATTGGAAAATTAGTAATTTAAATATATATGCCAGAGATTCTGCCGATCCGGTAGGGATTTCCGCCGCTGCGTGGTATCTAACCTATCCTATCTCTCAAGTTGGACCAAATTACACACAGTGTAAAAGATTTCACCAAGTTAAGAAGTTTCGGAGTTCATCGCAAACAAACATTGTGACTGAATATTTTTTTACATAAAAAGATGTATAATTTGTTTCAGTGGGACAGAAAATCAACTACAACTGGAGGTTCCGTTCTCAGTATAATTGTGAAATACGGTAAGTGCTATTTTTTTCAAAATTGAAAATTCATGTAATTTTTTCCCCCGATTTTGAGGGCTTCTACCCCTTCTAGGTAGTAAATAGATAAAATTCGTGGTTTATGGATTTGCTACTCAACGAACCCGGCTTACATTTGTATTAAAATGAAAAAAATTAATGTTTTTTTTTTTTAAATAACAGAAGGAATTGAAAAAACCCAAAAATTTGAAAGTGAAGTGGTGATGTAAGTTTCATATTTTGGCATTTTTATGTATTTGCTTTGGCACATATACGAAAAAATCGAGACCGGTTATCATAACGAAAAAAAATTATCCTATTTACCTAATCGATGTGAAGGTCCATTCAGAAGTTATTTTAGGGGTAAATATTGGAAATAGTTAATTTCCTATTCTAAACGATTTTTTTTAAATAGGCACTAAATGTAAGTTTTGCAAAAAAAGTGAATCATTTTAACTCTTATAGGGAAATTAAAAAATGTTATATTACATATAACCTAGGGAGCTTAGACTAAGTTAATTGGTTATATTCGGTCCATGATCTTATAGGTGAGTGCTTGGACGAGGTTTGCAAACCCAGAGATATACCTGTTCTTATAATAACATAACTAACACTTTTTTTTTCAAGTTATGTTTGCGATGCGACCGCATTGTGAAAAAAAATGTATAATAATATTTTAATGTTTAAGAAAATAATAGCTAAATATCGTTGGGCTTCTGTACAACAAAAGGGACTTTTTAGCTAAAACTAAAAATGCTGATAGTATATACTTATGATATTATGCGTTAAACACCAATTGCAATGTATCTACAATATGTCTAAAGGGGCAAAATAACAAATAAAATCATTCTAAACACTTCAACGATGGTAGTAAAACACGAATGTGTAAAAAAGCTGTTCGCTATAACTTATGTAAATATACAGTACTTAGGTGCAAAAAATAGTTCAAACATATAACAACAAAACAAATATACAAAACTAAATACCTTATAAAAACAGTTGTTCTTATTCTAGTACAAAAAGATATACCTACTTGTGCGCAGAAAAACATTGCACCGAATAACTTAAAAAATAAACATGTTAGGTACCAACTAGAATAAAATGTCCGATATTCGAATAATTATTATGAACTATGAAATATATTATATCAAACTTTATAATCGATGTATTCAAATACTTAATAAAAAATAAATTATAAACACAATGTTTGGTCGTTGGCTTTTTAAAATATACACAGTTAAAATCAATGCAGAAATTGTAATGCATTTTATATACATATATTGTTATTTTAAGGTTCAATCAGCTCCAGATTGGGTAGTCTGACTTTTATACCTTTTTGTTGGTCGTTTGTTATTCTGTTTAAAGCAAGTGTAAAACAACAATTATATAAAAATATATTTTTTTAGGCAACAACATGTTGACCTATTATTTTGTTGTTACTTGAAATATTGTTTTTACTTCAAAGTATATAAAAATCATTTTTACACGATACGTTTTGTATACACAGATTTAACGTTTTCCTACAATGTGTGGACTTAGAGTAAACAGATTTTAGCCAACTGTAGATCCAAAGCAGGTCTCAAAGAAATATGAACCAGCCAAAGCCGTTTTCAAGTGTCCTTTATTCCAATAGCTGTTTTTTTATTCAATGATAATTTATGAATTTGTTTTTCCCAAAATGTTGTTTTTACTCAGAAGTGTAGAGCTTGCTGTGTAAACCCAAAACGCAAAATAATAATAGGCTTTGTTCATTTACTAACAGCAAGTCTCTTATACTCCACGTACACATTTTCAATTATGTTTTCGAAAAATATCTTACTTCTTTTTTGTGTCGTATGTTTTGTTGAGAAATGTTGTAGTACCGATAAATGGCGAGAGAACTTAGAAAAGCATCATGACAATGGCGATGGTCTTATCGACGCCGTTGAATTACAGAAACTAATATTCCAAAAGTGCAAAGGATTTGTCACCGTTCGCCTTGCAGACATTTATATACCCTTCATTAATTTAAACGGTAATAAAAAAAAGAAAGAAAAATCTCACGCTAAAAATCATTCTACAGTTGACGATGTTTTTTTTTCAGGAAGCAATCAAATAACTTTCGCAGAGTTCGAACGAATGGCACCGCTAATCAATGTTTTGTCGGAGGTTTGTTCAGTTGTATTATTGTTACTATACCGGGCGGGGGGGGGGGGGTGGCAATTTATTTAATTTTGTAGTAATTCCGGTTTGACAAAATATTGTTTCTTATATTACTGTAGAATATTCTAAAATTACCAGGATAATGTGGTCGTTAATCCTCTGGCACTTAATACTCTCTAAGAGTTTTGGCCGCTATCACAATATCCCTCCATTTCTCTCGATACTGAACTAATTCCCTTCATTCCTGTACTCCCAATTTTTCAGAGTCTTCTTCCACAACATCCAGCCATCTTTTCCTGGGCGTCCCTCGAGGTCTTTTTCCCATTGGTTTCCAGTTTAGGACTGCTCTACTTATATCAACCTCGCTTCTCCGCATCACGTGTCCTAGCCATTATTTTCATTATTTCTTCTTGTTTCCTATTTTTCCAATATTTTCTACTGCAATTTCTTTAATGACTTTACTAATTTTGTCCCAGTCTTTATCTATGTCATTCAGTTCAATACTCTTTATATACTCATCAACATTTTTTGAGTATTTTTGCTGGATTTCCTCATTCTTTAGCATCTCTAGATTTATAATTGTACTATTCCTTTTTTCTAGTCGTTTGAGATTTTGTAGCTTTAACTTGAACTTTGCCACTTCTAAAACATTATTTATGTCACAGTCAGCTGCTCTGAAGCTTCGTATGTCTTTTATGCATGAACGAAATCTCTTTTGAATAAATACATGATTAGCTGTTGTCCCGTCTGGTGATTTCCATGTGACTTTATGTATGTTTTTGTGTGGGAATGTTGTGCTGCTTATCGTCATACTTTCCAGTCTAAACCCATTTCCGTTGCTTGACTCGTGTATACTTTTACTTCCTATCATTGGAATAAACTGTGTTTCCCTTCCACATTTGCCATTTAAGTCACCCAGCAATAATTTGACTACGTTCCCTGACAGCTTATCATAAGTGTGTGCCATTTCCTCGTAGAACGCATCCTTCATGTCCTCTTCCCCTGTTTCCGTTAGTGCGTGTGCGCACACTAATACTACATTGAGAAGTTTTGTGTCAACTCGTAGTACTGCTATTCTTTCTGATACAGGGTTGAACTCTTTTATGTATAGTTACAATGTCTTGTGCACAACAAAGTCACTACCAAAAATATGTCTTTCTTCCATTCCAGAGAAATAGATAATATATTTCCCCACTTTTGACTGTCCATTCCTTGACCATCTTATCTCTTGAAAAGCTGCTATATGTACTCCATATACTTCTAGTATAAGATTATGGCAAGCTCCAGTTCTAAAAAGGTCGTTAATCAATATTTGTAAATTTTTAAATTGTAAGAACGTGTGAGAAACATGTTTCTCTCATTTTTTTAAGCGGAGTGAAGGCATAATTGGAATATATTGCCGAATATTGTAAAATAACATAAATTTAAGAAACTCTATTACAAAAAACTGACAGTGGTATCCTGAAGGAAACAACCCAGTAAAATCTATATATTTTTTAAAACCTAACAAATAAGTCGTTATAAAGTGTACATAACATAACATGCGTCTAATTTTTTGTAATAGAGAGAAAAATCAGAGGCCAATGACGATGTTAACGGTAATAAAACTATTTCGGTAAAACAAGCCCGAGATGTATTATGGCGAGTATTTTACGGACTGTTTGAGAATAGGAAAGAAATTTCGGAAGTATTTAAGATTTTCGGTCTAAACGGTATTAAAAAAACTTATGTTCCTATTGACATTTTTAACTTATCCACGACCGTTTTTAGAAGAAGATCCAATTGAAAGAGAAACGTTCGAGGAAATAGAAGAAACGTTGAAGTCTACTCGAAAGGTTAACAGTTAATTGCTTTACTTTTTTATTAAGATTAATCGTATTTAAAGGTATTGCAATGAGAAAACTGTATTAAGACTACGCAAATTGTGTTATGACATATTTGTTAAAAACGTTTTTATTTTTTAATTTTTTTAGTTGAACGAAACACACACGCTTTTTTGTTATCTCGACAAGGACAAAAATAAAGTTCTTAGCGCTGAAGAGGTGTCAACAGCTATTATTGAGAAATATGATATAAATAGTAGGTATATACTTAAGAACATCATTGAAGTGGAAATTGTTAATGATTGATACTTAAATTTTTCCAGGAGACAATAAGATTGATTTTACAGAATTTGTAAGTTATTGCCATAGACCTGGTGCCGGAGAGCAGGTGTTCATAATTCAGTTTGGTAAATCACACATAACTAGAGAAGAACTCAATGATTTCCTTTTTCGAGAATTTAAAACACGACTTACAGTGTACGATTTAGATGAGATAGATCCTTCAAGTAAAAACAACATATCTTATCAAGGTATAATATTATGTTATCAATTTATGGGATTTTTTTTTATTGATTAGTGCTAATTTTCAATTGAAGTTAATTTGTAAATAAAACTGTTTAAAATTTGTTTTTTATTTTAAATTTGTTATTTTTGAGGGGCAGGGAGGTGGAGTTCTTAATATAAAGACATACAGGGTGATCCATGTAAGATACTAGTTTTCTTGGATAATATGAATGTTTTGAGAATTTTTTTTATTCTTTTAGGTATATGTACATATTTTACTCATTTTTTTCAAAACTTTGAACATTTTTATCTTCATCCCTTATCCGTGTACAAATTTTGTCTACACGTCCAGTCTATATTTCTTTTACTTATAAGGAATGAAAGTAAACAATTTCTGTGTATTGAAAAATGTGTACTTACAAATAAAAGAAAAAATGTATTAATTAATAATTTTTAAAATGTTCATATTTGCCGAGAAAATGAGTTTCTTACATAAGATGGATCACCCTGTATAGTAATTTTTCGACTTTTACGGTAAAACTGTACAGAGCATATAATAGTTATAGCTTGATTACTAATTATAATGTATAGATGTAACCTTTAATACCTACAAATACCTTTAGTTATAACTTACTGTTAAACCAATTACTTATTTTAAGAATCGTGTTATTTTTTTTAGATTTTAAAAAATGGCTAAACAAGATATAGTGAGGAAATACATAATTATGCACAAGAATAATAACTACATTTAATAAACATTTCACATAAAATATGTCAATAGGAATTGTAATTTAAAAGATTGTTTAATTAATTTGTATAACTGCTAAAGATTGATGATATTGTAATAAAATATTTGTTCGCCTTAGTTTTCAGTTGTACATTAGTTTATAAAACTGGATATTTTCCTTCGACCTACCACAGACGGTCAATAACCCATTAAGAATTTATTTAAAACTGTAATGGTCCAATTTTGAACCATTCATAAAAATTCACCTATTGAGTAGATGTAATCAAATATACATAGCTGCATACAAATAAATGCTATGCCGTTCTGGTTTCGCGCACAACGTGTTCACCGTAGTGTCCGGACTCGACTGCCCACTCATCGGAAAGCAATTTACCGGCTTGTGAGAATCCGTGAATCAAAAGTAAGTATAATAGGTATCTGATACTTATATATGCCAAACTTTTTATTTTATTAATGACGACGCCAAACTAAACGTCGGCTGGTGACTGCAGCATAATCCACGTCTACGCGACATTAGGTATATTATACGAGGAGTATACATATAACATCATGTAAAAAACCATTCCAGATTATAGAAATGGACGACTAAATTTACGGGGCACGTGTCGCATATGCGGTCAAAATAAATTCACATTGGTCCCACAAGAACTCTTTCACAATAATTTCTACTAATTTATATTTGACCGTGAGTGACAGTGTGTGTATATGGATCGTCCGTCTATACAGTATAAATATGACATAACAATAATACTATATGACATAATAAGAAAATCTGACCTCATTATAAGTGACCGGAACGTAATTGTATCTGTGCTACATTTTTTTGACCACCAAATAACATAATTCGATGGCATCTCTCATTGCGAACATAACATATCTTCAATTATCAATTGATCTTCTTTAAGTTTCTAATAAATTGTTAAATATGTATTAAATTGTATTGAAAATCACTCTTATTTGAAAAAATAATAAAATATTTCATGTTCAAGCAACGAGCTATTTTCTAACAATTACTATTTATATTAAAAACTACTATAGCAACAACAATACCTATTATTGCTTTAACTAAAAACTGTTATTTAGGAACATCTGATTGTTTATGGAGACACATCTGGTTAATAAATAAAATAATAATTATGTATTACTGTAATTTTATACTGTAAACGTTTACGGTGCTATGGGTGTAAAAGTTGACAGATACATACAGACTTAAGTCCAACTTAAGTTCCGACCCCAATTTTAATGGCTTTTTCCCTTGCGAATATCCGTCGACAGCCATACTTAAGGTTAGGTTATTATTTTTTTTTACGGACTGACAGTAGTCGTACAAAAATACAATATCTATTTGCGCAAATGGTATGTTAATAGTGTATCCGATTCGATAACAATTCCAAGTTTCGACGATTATGACCATTGGATTTCCAACGTATAAAAAGTAACACTAAAACGTGCAAAAGAAAACAAAAAAAAAATTGGAAATTCAAACATTGACAATTTTATACATTGTTTTTGTCGTTAGATCGACGTTTTTTTCTGCCTAAAATGTATACGTATTTATCGATGGAAAAAAAATGTACTCAGATATTCTCTTGTGTGCACAAGTTCCGAAAATTTATGTTTTTTAAAAAAATATTTTCGAATTATTATAACCTTAGCATTTTCATTATAAAATGTACTATCAACAAAATCGCACATGGAAAACCCGAAATTTTGACAACGCTCCACCCCCCTGCGAGAAAGATTGACATATTTTTGGCATATTTTTAAGATTTAAGAACTAATAATTAGTCTAAAGATAGGTCTAACGAACAACATAAAACATCAGTGTAGTGTATTAATTATGAATAGGACGTTTACTTTTTTGTTTTTTATTTCTGTAATTCGATTAAAAGTTTTTTTTTTGTCGATCAAAGTTGGACAACGAATGATACAAATTTTGGTTATATATTTTATTAAATCACATATTCATCTTAAGTAAAAAGAGTCCAATCATAGTCATCGTGTTGATGATAAAGAATATTGTCAGTCGTATGGAGTCAAAATAATGTTTATCGAAAAATATAAGAAAAACAGTAAACTTAGACTCACACTTAGGTCATACAATTGTAATTACAGCTATACGTTTTTGGGTAAATTTTTGAAAACGTTTACTCGGTTTTGTTATTATACCATCTAGTACGTAGTAGTAGTTTTTATAACGTTTTTTTTCTCATTTAATATTATTTATATATCAAGCAGGTATGAATATTGTGCTAAAAAAATTGTGTTTTCGTAGGCGAGAATTCGATAAACAACACTTCAAATAATATTTTTAAATATTCGTTTACTTTTGAACTCGGTGTCGCTTTTAAATCACGTGCGCCGACTTGCGAAAATATACAAAACCTTTTCCAACAATAAATTGAAATAATTTATAAATCGCATTGGCCTAAAAAGAAACCACTGATTTTAGTGAAAACTAAAAATGTGAAAAGTCAAAATTTGTTATTGTCACTTGTAAGAGGTTATGTTTAAATATTAGTTATTATGCGATTTTTGTATAAACAATAAAATATGTGGTTACTGGTCACTCAATTAGTCCGTGGTAGGCACTAAATTGTGATAACTATATTCATAAATATTAGATACTGAACCCCAGCTTAAGTCTTAAGTCCGTCGTAGGACATAGCCTACCTTTTGTTTTTCAAACCCATAATAATGTCACAGCGATGTAATAAAACTACTCGTCTTTAAAGTAACGGTTATAAATATTAAGAAATATAGTCAAAAAATCAAATCATTAAAAAGTCATAACAAATGAACAAATAAATGAAAATTCAAACGCTAAAATATTTTTTTATTATGTATCTACAAATTTATGTAATGAAAAACGTATGTTGCCATTTAAAAAAAAACAAAAATTCCCCTTTTTGGCTTACAAGAATTGGTAATTAAAATTTTCAAAATATTGAAAAACTTAGTACAGTGTGCACCAAAAAATGTTGTATAAAATATTAATATCTTATGAGAAAATGAGTGTCTTACCCAAAATGAATCACCCTGTATATGTAAAATGGATAAATTCATTAAGAACAAAATATAAATAGAAGTTTTTTTTTTCATATATTTTTTTTTATTTCGATACAACTAGATTCACAATCGTTGCGTTATGCATTCACGCCGATTCATTTAACTATATCCAAGAAATGCAAAAGCCATCTATACTCGAACGGCAAGCAGATGCTTTTCAATTCGTTCATATAGTCTTTGAAATTCTTAATGACTCTTGCGGTCAACTCGTTGCTGCACTGCGATTGGTCGACGTTGTAACCGAGCCGATCGACTACACTGGAACCGTGTAGTTCGTTTAGCACCTCATTGGCTTTTGCCTTGACTCCGGTTGATATTTTTGTTATTTCTACAATGTTTCCTTCACTTGCCGTCTTGAGATCCGATACGACGACCACGAGGAATTTGTCTTTGAACGCCGTCAACTGTAACACGTCTTGGGCAACGTCTACGATAGCGTCTTTGGTGTGTCTCAGCTTCGTCGGATCGGTGCGTCCGGCTGTTAGCTGTTTCTCGTAAACGTGCAGCACCACCGCAAGGTGACAATATAATCTGGCGTCGATAATCCTGACCAACAAGAGTTGGTGGTCCATCCGTTCGTACGGTGTGTAAATCCAACGTTTGTTTTCGAAAAATGTCCTGGTCGCCGGCACCTCGGTTAGGTGTTTTTGTTTCGCCACGTTCCAATCCACATTGGTGTAGGCTATTTGCCCGAACAACAATTCACTGGGGCCTTCCCAGAACGGTTGTAAATACACAAGTGCTAACATCAGGTTGTAATCGCGATCGAGTGGAAGCCGTATGGTTCTTAGATCATTTAAAAAACGACCGTGTCCCTTAGGGTTGTTCGAAACGAAATCCGGTGCCATGGCTGCTTCCGGAAGGTTTTTTTCACGTATACAAGTGTCGATAAATTCCGAAACGCCGGTTTGCAGAAGACGGTCACCTTCGAACGGGTCTTCGCCGCGTTTGAAACCGTTTTTACAGCCGTCGTAGTTTTCGATGGCGATCGTTTTCAAAAAATGACTCCAAAGCCACTTGCCCGTTTCCAAATTTTCGGCCAGCAATAGTTCAACTATCATCGTGGTTTCCAGTTTGATTTTTCCTATTTTTTGTAAATCGTCTCTGTACAAAAAACAAAATTGTTTTTCGGCTATGAAACTTTCCAACGACTGCTTCAAATACACCACGTTCGATTTGGCGATTACGCAAAAACTACATTTGATATCCCGGGCTTTTTCTTCCAGACTATCGCGGCTTTTTATTTTTTTTTGGTATTTCTCGATACCGTTCACAACGGGCATGGACAGAATACTCTGCTTGTCGAAAGCGGTCGACTTTTTCTTGAACGTCCTTACATTGTCCACGGCACGCACAAACTTTTTGTCAGACGTAGGAACGAATAACCGTGCGGTGGTGATCTAAAATATATATAAATATACAGATGTAAATATAAAAAATGTATCTTTAAAAATACGCCTTATCGTTTAATATCTAATAATACTTATTGTTATATAACTGTTTATAAACAAATATGTGACTTGGACAGCCTCGAAACAATCCTATTATATATATATAAAACGCCAAATATTTCATAGAAAAGTCGGAAAAACGACCACAGTAATCGAAATAGTTGAATTAATTGTGTGTATAAAAAAAAAATTGCCGGTTTTTTTTTTTACTTTTTCTCTAAATTTTCACCTCATTTTTGTTTTTAATTTTCCACACGTTTTTATGAGACACCAGTTTGAAATTTACACATTTTTTGTACGATTTTCTTAGCTTTTAGAAAAAAAACTATAAGAAAAATTTTCAAATTTGTGGCAACATGAAAAAAACCGACTTTTTAGATTATAAACTAAATTTTAATGACTTTCTGTTACGCGAACAAAAAATCAATATTTTTTCAAAAAGGTGAATGATTTTTATAGTTTTTTCTAAGATATTAAAAAAACGAAAAAAGCGATGTGTCAAGAAACAAAATCAAA